AAATTCCATTTCGACTTTCACTGATATCGCTGGAACGGTTTATCGCACGGGATAAAAAGTATCCTATGTCCTTCTCCTGGCTCTAAACTACCTCCCTGCCAATTTTCAGCTAAATCGGTTCAGCCGTTCTTGAGTTATAAGTGAAGTAACTAACACGACTTTCTTTTATATATATAGATTAGAGAGTCAGAAAATACATATCGAAAAGGAACACCGGTGTTCCATATGTGTCCAAAGATTAAGAGTACAAGAGAGTCTGTAACTAAACTATAGTTAAATACAAAATGGCTATTACTAACTAAACCAGCAATATCCAAAACAGTTACATACACTAAACTAGCTAAGTACAGAACAGCTATAGCTCAACTAGATTTATCAAATTCGATTATAGCTCAATAACAAAGCATCGATTTTTTTTAGAAACAAAATATAATTACGAAAGGCATTTAATATTCCTTATTTCATAGCTGATATCAAGTTTCTTCGTTGCGGAAGTGCATATAAAAACTTTTGTTAAACTCTAAAAAAGCCCTTATACTTTGAATTAAAATTACTCTATGTTACATTTTGATCTTGGTAGAAATTAAACTTTCCTGGTCTTAATTCAAAATATGTCTACAACCATGGCAAACATATTCAAATATTTAAAATTGTAAATTATTTAAAATTGAAGTAAATGTGAAAATTAATCAGCATTTTACTATACATTTTAAGAACATTTTTGTAAGAAAAAACTTGTTTATTTCATTATAAATTTTGTGATTAATGTTTCCCAGGGTTAAGATATTTTCTGACTATTTTTTTTCTTCCATAACGGCAGGCACTGAACTTTTTGTTCTTCGCCATAGAAGATGCTGGAATTGTTACTCATTTAGCGTTACCCAGTGGGTACCTGTGAGCCAAAGTCACGGAGGCGAGCAACGTTACCCACGCCATACTGCCACAAACCCGTTCATAGGGTGGGCCACATTCACTCATTCACACAACAGAAGACAACACAAAGAGAGAAACATCCATGCCCAGAGCGGGATTCGAACCCGCGACCACTGACTCCGCAGTCAGACACGCTAACCACTCGACAACCTGGCCGGCATATTTTCTGACTATATAGTATAAGAAAAACCACTGTTTTTTTTCTTCTATTTTTAGACACGGAAATCGATAAGAAAAGGTTGAGTTACAAAAATATTTTCTGAATTGTTCTATTCTTAAAAATGTCAAATGATTTTGCAAAGAGATTAAAATTTAACAAGGGAGGTTTATACTCGTAATGACCTAAAATTATTTTGCATGCATCGTTTTTTATTATTTGAAATTATTTTACATTTCCGTTTATGAGTCATAGCCTTAATTATCATAATTAAATATTTCAGTCTGAAATTTACAAATAGCTTATTTATTCAAAGCATTCTATAATTTTGCAATCTTTTAATTTAATTTAAATGCAATTTAGACAACAGCTTATGCAATGTATTCCTTACAAACAAATATAAATAAGAAAAGTAAAAGGTATGCATGATTTTATAAATGAGAATAAAATACAAAACAACCGGATATTGCATTTTACATATGTGGATGTTTGAAATTAAAACTAATAAAAACTGTTAAGTGTCACATAAAATTACATATTGGATAAAGTAAGAAACGTACTTACATTTTTATAAACTAAAGTACCTTCATACGCATCCAATAGAAAATAATGTCTACCATTTTGTAGATTTGTAGTGAGTGCGACGAGCTCTTTGCTTTCGCTTACAGCTCAGTATTTATGTCTGCCATTTTATTTTATTTATTGGTACACATATATCTGAAGGTTTGTGTGCTCAATATATAAATACGGCTTACAAACCTTTGTCAAATAGTCACATAAAATTAAACTGATAAATGTACTTACATTTTTATGAGCGAAAATATCTTCGTATGAACAGGTGAAGCCCGCTCTGACTTACCATTATCTATACACATGCAATTACATGTAATATTTTCGGTTTCTTTATTTGATTTAGTTTAAGATAGGACTGATCGCAAGACACGGTTCTTAGAAGATTACCGATGTCAAACATCACTGGCAGTGACCATTAATGGTGGGTGACCACTTTGATCAGCCTTCAAAGGGACCGAGCATGTGCATTACCAGTCTTCGTTAAACTGTTCTACCGTAAAGTGCTTGACTTCCAGTTCGAGTAGTCGGGCTACTAAAGGGTAGGAGCCTTCAGAGGATCAAAATTTTGATGTCATGGATTTGGGCCATCTACAGGGATGTTTCTCAGACCGACGCCAAATGTGCTGCTCTAGTGTGACGTAAATAAAGTATTACTACTTGTTGATTTATTGTAACAAGTATACAAGCAAGTATGTGTGCTCATTATAAAGTACAGTGGGGCCTTTCTGGAAGAGCTTTATCGTTCGCCAAACGCTCAGTAGCGGGTTCGGATCTCACTATAGCCCTGGATATTTCTGCGTGGTGTCTTTCTCTGAAATGTGCTATCTTCAATTTGACAAAGGCTTATAAGCAGTACTTTGTTATTGAGCACACAAGCCTGCATAGCTCTGTGAATCAATAAACAAAGTATAGCTTAATTTAGAGATGTACCTATACTGCGGCTTTCAGGAGAACTCCTCCAGACATCAGTCTCGCGTCGTGACGGACACTATGGTTACAAGGAAAAGTCACTTCGAACAGGGGTGAACAGTTTTGTCTTAATTTTGGCATAGGTCGGCGTGAGTAAGTCAATCGACACCTTCATTCTTCCATTGCAACTCCATTAGACATGTGCTCTCGCTTGTTACCATAGCAGCAGACAGTCCCAGACTTTTACTCTGAACGAGTTCTCCTCAAAGCTGCACTATGCATCACAAGAATGCATCCAGTGTGACCGGAGGGGGGATTCGAATCAGTTTCCTCCACGCTGATACTTTTTCTAGATTTGATTCGGTTGAAAGCAACGAGATCTATCATAAAAGTTTCGATCAGTAGTTCTGTTTTTAAAGGAACTGAATATAGGGTTTAATGGCATGGCACACTGTCCCCGTTTTTAAAAGACACATTGCCAAAAAACTTGCTTAAAATCGGTTGGTAGCATGAAGAGATGGAAAACAGTTTGAAACTAGGGTTTCCGAAATTTCATTACAACGAGCACTTTGAAAAGTTAATTAGTAGATTTGTTTTATATTGACTGCTCCAATACATTTTCTGATGCATATTTATGTGCATCACAGGCTCTGTCGAAGCTTATTTAAGAAATTCCGTTGCTACAGGGGAAACACACGAGGTAGCGAATTCGCTCCCCACCTAAACCTTTTATTTATTAGGCTGGAATATCCTGATTGATAGGGCGTTGGGCTCATATCCAAGAGGTCGGTCGTGAGTTTGATCCTCACCGGCCGAAGATTCACCACGTAGTAAAAGTTGAATAGTTGAAAAGCTGAATAGATTTAAAGTTGAATCGACACTTTAAATCTGTCGGGTCACAAAGTCCTCCAAATTCCCATAACAAATAAATACCTCTGTACTGAATTGGAGATTGATCATTCTCTGGTTCAGGTCAAAATAACGATCCGTGGATGAATGAATGGTTGCCCCCTCTAAAATGGGTTGTGCCGCGTGTGTGTAGCTGAACTCGCATTCTTGGTAATAGATGGCACCACTGAGAAACAAGAAACTCACCTTATGCATTAAATTCGCTTTGTTATAAAAAGCAGGCTAGTTGGTATTGGCACGTGGCATCAGAAACAGCAACCACTTTTCATTTATTGATAAACGTGTAGAATTGTGTGTTGAAATGGTTTTTCAAAACCTCTTCATTTGAATAGCGAAAATCGCAGGAAATCGGGGAGTTAATTGTCAAATATTGTTTTTCACCTGGAGATGAATTATAAGCAAATCTTTTATACACCATAGAATCCCGAAGATTTATTGTATAAAATTAATAAAAAAAATAAAAGCATGTATACGTTACTATTTTCATCGTTTGGATACAACTTACCCTTTCAGTTGACCAGATGGAAGGCAGCAGTTTTATCTCGATTACAGTAACATGAAGTTTGTCATATTCCAATCAAGCGTTTTAATACATTTTTCAATCACGCATTAAGGCTCTTTACTAACTTTGATAAAACCAACTAGTGTTTTAGAAGCGAATGTATTCCAGAATTACGATAGAGGTCACGAATTATACTCTGAATTAATGAAGAACCTCTGCTCCTATGAACAATTACGAATATCATGCCCTTAAATAAATTTTGGGTTCTTCGTACTTTTTTTATTGACGTATAACTGGAGCTGCACAATGGGCTACTGGCGACAGTCTGGGAAACATCCTTGAGGATAATCTGAAGACAACGTTCATGCGTCACATCCTGTTTTATAGGGGGAAACATTCACTCACCATCCATCAGCAAATCGTAATTTTGACCTAAACCAGAGCACGATCAATCTACAATCCAATACCCTTAGAGGTATTGATTTGTTATGGGAACTTGCCGGACTTTGTCACTCCGACAGATTTACCTTGCACTAGTCACCATTTTGTACATGGGAAGCTTTCAGCCCACGGGGATAGAATTCGGGACATGGACCCAACACACTACCAGCCAGGCTATCTAGACCCTAATAAATTTTGGATAATGTTGAACTATAATGATGCTCAATAAAGCTCAGAAAAGTTTCAATGATACACTTTCAGCCAGTAAATTTTATAAGTACTGGCTAAATTTAACATTAGAAATTAAATAAAATTTTTAATATTTACAATTTCAATTTATAACTGTGAATTATATTCCGTAAATACATTACTTATTTTTTTTAAAATAATGTTTGCAATATATAAAATTTGCAGCAGTATGTAAAATTTTTAAGTAATTTCAGTTTTACACTAAATCTTCCTATGTCTTAGTTACTTAAAAAAAATGTTCACTTTTCCAAATATTTTATAGGCAAGATATGCATATTTTTTTGCGTAAAAAAACATTGAAATATTCAGTCAAATACTAATAACATATCATTTAAGAAAAACTTGTTTATTGAGTTTTACAAGAGGTGATTTTCTGCATGCATCATCGCTTGTTTGTCTTTAGGACAGATTGTCGCAGAAATTAGCACGTGACACTTTTGAGTCATTTATATTAGATCTCATGAAGAACATGATTGTCCCATTTTCAACACGACTGTCCCATTTTTAATATTTTTTTCCTTTGAATTAGAAAATGACAGGGATGGTCCCGGTTGTGTTTGGACTAAACATTTAGTGAGATATTACTATGAGTTCAGCATTCAGTGTCAAGTGATTTTGTGAAGGTACTAAAAATGTACAAAATTATCACTTTGGTGTTTATCAAGAATATTTTGTATTTCAGGAATAAAATCAGAGTATCTTCAAATCAAATAAAGAAGTATTTGAGATAAACAGGATCGTCTAATAGAGATAAACAAAGAGATGTTTGATTATTTACGGATAAGGTTTTGGTTGTCACAGAAACAGTTAACAATAATACAACCTATTTACAATTATTTTAATTCACATAAATGTGTCGAATCTTATTTACGTAAACTACTAATTGTTTTCTATATTATTGCTTGCGAGAACCAATTACTAATGTCTGTGTCTTTTGTTTTATCAAAAAACTTCTCTGTTAGTCTTTGGTTTTGTTCATTATTTAAAACGTTTTTCCAATCTCCGACTATTCCCTTTCTAACGTTATTTCCTTTAACAATTTTAGATGGTACATCCAAACTGGCCACGAACTCTGCAACGTATTTAATTCCAGAGTAAGTTTCAGTATTCAATTCTTTCATTTCGGTAAGGCTCGGCCTGCTGTAGTGTTTTTGCATGTATTCAAAGCTACTGAACAGAATGATATTGTTGAGAACAGAGTTGTCTTTCTCAATTGCTTCAGCGTATTCTTGCCCCAAAAATTTCGAAACAGACACAACAACGCCCCTAATATCTTTTTTCATCTCTTCATACGTTGTATAAAAGACGTTCGGATCATTACGATGGGGATACCAAGAGAGTAAATGATCAAAATAATCATTATACTCCAATTCCCCATCCATAAAAAGCTCAAAAAAATCATTAAAATTGCCATCCCAGTATCCGAAGCCTGGATGATTCCGCGCGTGATGATAAAAGGACACACAGCAATCTTTTGGATTCCGAGCAACAAATATATACTTTGCTTCAGGGGACAATGAGAGATGGTTGTAAGGCAGATGCGTTTTAATACATCCGGGTTTCTTCATTTTTTGAATGCTTTCAAGTCCACACACGTCGATGAATGGGCAATATTTGATGAATTCCGCCATATTTTCCAATTCTTCTCCCTTGCGGAAAATATACATGAGTATATGCTGCATCCAAGTTGTGCCGCATTTAGGATAAGTGACAATAAAGGTGTCATTAGGTTGAGCTTTGTAGTTCAGCGCTTCTTTAAAACATGTTGGAGAAAACATAGAAGGATAAATAATTCCATCCATTCGACTATATAACGGTGCTTTTGTCATTTTCGCCATCTTTACCTCTAATCCGGAATGACTGAAAAAGAAGAAAAGGATTGAAATGAAAAATGATGAAACTGACAAAAGTTTTCAGTATATTTCAGCAATGCAGTTAGAAATTATGGAGCCCATTGGAGCATAGTTCAAATTTATTTAACCTTAATATGGTGTTAAGATAAACCATATTATCAAACTTCTTGAACTTTATTACATGACGTCGTAGTTCGAATCATGTTGTATAAAATGCATGACCTGGATGACCTGCATAGTTGATCCTTTTCATGTAATAGAAGAATAAATACGAAAAATTGTAAATGCAGATTTCTTCTTTGTATCATATGACAGAATTAATACAAGTTAGATTTAAATAAAAACATATCAAAAACGGTTTTTATGAATAAGAGAACTATAATATGAAAATACGGAATTCATTAGAGAATTTTGTTTCTATAAAAATGGGAAAAAAAAAGTTTAAATCACTAACATATGTACACGCAATTCTACCTTAATTTTATAATTTTTAATAAAATGAAGTATAAAAATTCAACTTTAAAAGTGTAAATCACTGAGAATTATTATTCTTTCATTATATTTATCTCTACTGTATCAATTAACCGTTTTTTTAAATTGTTGTTAGAAGGAGCAGAGGTTCCTTGGACTGAGAGATAAGCATCGTGATAAGTGGATTGTCCTGAAGTATTATCGATCATGATAAAGATATTATTTACAAACAAGTCTTTTTAAAAAAAAATCTTTTTTTGTAAACCTTACATAAATCAAAAATTATAAATTTTTATGTTATAAAAAAGATAACCCAGCTGCACATATTTTATTAATAATTATTTACTCTTTTGAAATGTATTGCAAAGTTCAACGTTTCAAAGTTTTCACATTGCTAACGTTACAGTTATAAATATTTTTAAGGTGTGCATAGTTATTCGAAGAATGCACAGAATACTGGTGACCGCATATTTCATTAGTTAAGGAAATACAGGAACATTTTAAAAATCCATCATATTTTTTCCCCCAGTAGACCGTACAAGTCATTCACAGAATTTTTTTTCAAATTTTTGATACGTATTAATTAAGTCCAAGTGAAGATAAAGGTTCACTTTGAATTGTATACACACGAACAAAGTTAAACAACGTGAAAAAAAAACACAAATATATGAAAGCCTTTGCGTTAGGTGGCTTTATTTATTTTCGATTTTAGTTATCGTTGAACCAGTATAGAAATAATATCTTTATTACGAAATTAATATTTTCACACTGTAGCTTTCTTCTTTTAAAATGATTGCACTGTGCAATCTATCAAAAGTAACATAGGAATACAACATATATTGCAATTAAAATAAGGTTTATTTAACATTTATACTTACCTTTTCAATAAAATTAAAATATAATGAGTTAAATCCTTACTGTTTTAGATTCCTTCTACAATGCCTTAGAAGTAGTTCAATAATAATATATCGATTTCTTTTTCCTTAGCAAATTTGTACGGTTTATCCATTAAATTTGCTTTCTAGTAGTTTGTTTCAATTAGAACCTATTACTAAGATTAATTAAGTATTATTGGCTACAATAATAGTAGGGCGATTTTTTACGTTTCTCTTAATCGAAATAGTCTCTTCATTAGTTCTGCTTTTTAGAATGCAACCTTTTTTTAAAAATTAAATTCTATTACCGTGTTCTATTCTAAGACTGATCAGTTTTAGAATATATTTACTTTAGATTATAAAGATACTGAATGAGCTACGGAGTAAAAGGATATCTGATGAATGAAGATTTTTTAATTGTTTTATCATTAATAATCATAATTTAGGTTTATGCTCAAAAGTTAAACTTGTAGTCCTTGTAGTATATCTAGTCTAGTTATGAGTTTGTTTTTGGTGTATTAGAAAGAAAATATATAAAGCATTATATGAAACATTAGGTAGAAAATATATAAAGCTGTATACAAAATATATATAAATTTATATATAGAAAAAAGTTTATGAGTAGGCGTAAATATGCTGAACAAAAAAAGGGGCTATCAGTTGTTTTGAAAATATTTAATGCGAAAACAGAGAAATATTTTAAATTATGAATTTGTTTTTGATGAATGCATGAGCTAAAAATAATTAATTATGATTTTCAAAAAAAGGAAAAAGAGAAAAAAAAAGACAACTCTGTTATAAACGCAGAGAATAGTAATCAGTGAAATATAACTCTAAATTCTTGAAATTTTCATAATTAAATATCCTTAACATAATCTATTCACAACATTGGTATTGAAATTTCTTTCTTTTTTTTTTTACCCATAAGGAAAATGGGTGTTGTTTTGGGTTTGATGGCGTGCGCACCTTATTTAGACGTCGTCACACTTTTCAACTGTGTTCAAGAGTAATAGTAAATAGTGCGCATGCGCTGCTATGGCGACCGCGGCTGTTTGATAATTTCTTTTTTTCACTTTTAATTTTGTTATGCATTAAGTTGGTGAGTTTATTTTTGAGATATGGGACCAGAGAGATCCCATAAATACTTCTTTAGTTGTAAATAAAAGAGAATTTCATTATTTGAACGATATATTTGCTAATATTGTTTTAATTAAGAATCAGAAATTCTAGCCTACTGTTCAAACTGGATCGTTTTCACCACTAATTCAGGTGAATATCACAAATAAAAGAGGGTTACCCATTTTACGAATGGGTAACCTGTGATCGCCTTTCGGCGATCTCAATTTTTTAAAAATTTTTCTACTTATTTTTTTACATTGACGTTTTACAGAAATATCATATAAACTACCGAAATACTGAATAAATTATGAATTCTTGATTTGATTTAAATATAATTATTACTGATTAGATTCTAAGTCTTAGAACCCAAGTCATCCTTACTGAGAACTCTCGGGACAACTTTGGAAACAGCATTATAGTAATAAAAATAAAGCCACACAAGTCATACCATAGTAACAAAAATGAAGCCACTTAAACAGTCATACTATAGTGAAAAAAAGTCACACAAACAGTCATACAGTAAAAAAAATAAAACCATATAAACAGTCATACTACAGTAACAAAAATAAAGTCACATAAAGAGACACAGTAAAAAAATAAAACCAAACAAACACTCATACTATAATAACAAAAATAAAGGCACATAAACTAAGCATAGTAGCAAAAGTAAAGTCATATAAACAGAAATACTATAGTAGCAATAATAAAGCCAGAAAAACAGATGTGCGCGAATAAATCCACTAACCACGCGATAAAATGAAAAATAAATAATTAAAAATGAAACTTAAACCTTCAATCAAGAATTCAATCTCCCCCTACTTGTAGTGCATGAAGCTATATATCACAAACAATGATTATATTATAAATTAAATAGAGTTAAAAATAAAATACGAACTTTCAATCAGGCATTATGCAGCTATTACAACGAAATACAATCAAAACGAATAATTCGGCAATTGTTTAATCAGACGTTCACATACAGTTAAGGAGATAGGAGAAACAAATTTCAGTGCACAAACCTTCACGTGACCTCAGTTTTATTTTTCCGGAGCCGCCACGTTGCGTAATGCAAACGAATAATTATTTTAAATGAAGGGGGACATTCATAAATTGATTAACTAATGAATGCTGATATGAGTATTCTGAAAGTTCACACACAATCACGGGCGATATGATTTCCCCGTATGAACGGGAAAAATCGGATTAATCGGATCGGAATGGGAAAAATTGGATTAAGATATGAATAATTAAAGTTGTTCTTTAATACTGCGCATGCGCTGGAAAAGTTTTTTTCCTTAATTTTGTAGTGAATCGTATTTGGAAACTAATGAAAAAAGTCCGATTTGAATATATATTAAAAATTTCAAAAGTTTCAAGCAGTATTCAAAATAGTTTTTGTACTTCTTAAAAGAAAAATCAAAATGATAAGGGTTTTTCTACAAATATTATTTTGTATCACAAGACAGAATTTAATAACCAATGATAATACTTCAATAAACGTTTATACTTCAAAATGAGATTTAATGAGGAAAGAAAACATGCGAAAAAGAAAGTTGTTTTTATGGAAATGATTCACAACAATGCCGGTGTTATTTTTAATAAATCTTGTTTGATAGTACAAAATTAAATATGTAGAAAATCCCTTATCATTTTGAGCATTCTTTTAAAAAGTACGAAAACTATTTAGAAAGTTGCTTGAAGCCTTTTAAATTTTTAAGATATTAGAATTTTTTTTTTATTTGTTGCCTAACACAATTAATTACAATAATAAGAAATTTGCTTTAAAATTTTTCCTGCACATGCGCACTATATATATAAAAAAAAAACTTTAATCACTCATATCTTGCGCAGTTACAAGAGAATTTTTCTAACATTTAAAAAAACAAATTATGATTGTATATTGCTCTAAAAATTTTGTTTAAATTTATCGAATATTTTTAAAGTTATCGCAAATAAATTTTTTTTTTATCCATATTTCATTTTTTCTCCATCTCCATTATTCATATTTCAATAAATATTTAAGCTAGGATTACGAAATTATGTGAAATTATTGCATATAATAACCAAAATAACTGTTACAAGCTAAAAATCTATTTCTACATTTTTTGGCATAGGGTGTTGGAAAACATTTTCCATTTGTAATTTATTGTCGGTGCTTCGAACTCTTAAAAGCTTTAAACAGCTTTCATATGTATGAGAAATCGCATGATCGCACTTCTGAAGTTATAAAATAATTCATTACGTATTTTTGGAGAAATATTCAAAAAATTTATTTGTACAGAAGTGTTTCCATTATTTGTCCAGCCTTTGTATACATAATAAGAGTTAATTTAATTTGGCAGTTCTTAAAAGTTTGGAGCTTAATGCAGGTTTAAACTTTAAGACCTAATTGCAATTAAGTTTCAAATTAGTTCACATTGAAATTTTGAGAGTAAATTTATAAATCTTTTTAATCACAAGAATTAGTTTCTTATGAATATTATGCAAAATTTTTTGTTTCTATCAAAAGGGCAACGTTTGAGTATTCATGGTGTTAACTATGATAAAAACTAAGTTTTTCAAATCAGATTCCAGATGTACAAAATACAAGAAATTCAAAATAAAATTCAAAAATAGAAGTACAAAATATTCAATGGAACAATGAGTATCGTATAGGCCACCCTCTTATATTTATTTTTAAAACTTTATCAAGTATTAAAACAAAAATGTTTTCCAATTGGGAACTCAAATTAACATCAAACAAGGAAGAAAAACGCTATGGAAATCGGACAAATCACAGTACTGGAACGTGCAGGTAATATTCATCAAGACAGGTTTAGTTAGAGGTTGAAACTTGAAGGTGTTTCTATTAATAATTTTTTAACTACTCTTTGTTTCCTCTCACAATTAAACCTGTTTCATTGTATTTTACTTTCCCTTTCTACAGTGATTTGTAAGATTTAATTCGAGTTTTTGTTTCTTCTTCTCTTAACTATTAATTGGAGAATCAAAATGTGTATACTTATTTGTTTTTACAATTGAATGAAATTTTTAAAATACGCATTAAGAGTGGTATTTACGGAGCATCCTTTATTTTACTGTGTGAAAGAGTTACTAAAAAATGTTTAGTGTTTTGATACGTGTTAAAATGTATCAATGGGACCAACGATATTATTTTATTTAAAGAAAATTGTAAAATTTCTTTCAACGGAAAATGCATTAAGTAAATATTTAAAAAGTATTTATCTATCTTTAAAATAACTTAAAAATACATTAAAGTATTTTCTTGTATTTTTGTAAAATGTTTTCAACAAAATGACACATGAAATACTGAATAGTTCAAATCACGTAGCGATTAAAAAAAGCTCTTAGTTTTTCCCATATATTCAGTGTTTAAGATAGTCTGGTACTAAAATTCAATGAAAGAATGATTATATTGTTAATTTTTTCATTAAAACGGTATTGTTGCATAGACAGTGAACAGTTAATGTATATAAGGTAAGTATTAGTAGAACTAGCTGTATTGTATTGAAAACTAGCTGTATTGTTGTTTTCACGTTTTGAGAAGTGCCATAATGTCTTGTAAGAAGTATCATCTGAAGAAATCCATTTATTACAGACTTATTCTTAATTATACTGTTAATTCTTAATTATTTATATTCTTAAGAATAGTTAGTTAAGAGTCCTGTAGATTGTAGATTATAGATTTCAATAAATCAGTTTAATCCTGAACCTTATAAATTCCAATATCTTAGTTTACAATCTAACAAATAGATGGCAGCACACCTTTTTACAGGAATAAAACTGTTTTTATGACTTTTGAGATACGTAGGTGAAAGGTTGTAATTGTATATTGCATAAAAGCTTTGATTTTTAGTGGAGTAAATAAAAAAGCATCAGAGACATTCAGAAAACCCTTCTGGTACATTATAAATGCTACAAAAATGTAGATTAGTTCTACTTCCGCAACTATTTTGATTGCTTGGGTCTATGTTCAAATCATGATCCTTTAAATAATGATATCAGTTTTCACAGTACATAATAGCAACGAAATGAAATTGTGAATTTTATAGGGATACCATATTAAGGAATTGAATTTTTCCAAGCTCTCTTAAAATTACTTTTACTTATCTCAATTTATTAAGTACATAATTTAATCACGGCCGAATTAAAAAGTCTCTTATCTAAAGATTTTAATTTTTTTCTTCTTAAATTACCTTCTATTTAATTTATTAACTTTTTTTAAAAATAGTTATTTCAGGAAGTATTACTTGATTCTTTTTCATTCCTTTTACTTCAAAAAGTAACTCTCATTGCAACAATCTTTATTTGCTCAAAAAAACACCCATCTTAGATACGATGTCATAAACTGTTAATTCTAACGAGGAAGCACTAATAAACTAACTCGTTAAAAAACCTCATATGAATACGTTACACTCAACGCAATATTTAAAAAAGCGAAATTTGAGAAATTTATTTTCAGGTGAGAAAAAAGTGTTCAACTGAGACAGTAGAACAAAAGAAGGTGATTTTACCATAATACTCTCTAGATTAATTTCTTAAAGAAGAGATATTTCATCATAATGAAAGCACTTAACATTTTTCTTCCTTTTTTTTCTTCTCTAAAATATTCTAATTTTAATATATTCCACGAATATTTTTCTAAATAACTGTTTCAAATTGCGTCATAATTCTTAGTGAATTAAAAATCTTATTTAAGTCGGAGGAAAAAATACTTTCTTTCATGTTTCTCTATTTTCAACATTTATATATTTTTCGAGATAAGTTTAATGTATTATGGACGGGTAAAAGGAAAATTTTACTTAATGTATTAATGCACATAAAAAATGACTACCCTGAATAACTCGAGATCTAATGATTTTATTTGAGATACAATTTTAATAATTCTATGCACCCTGATAATATTGATTATTTGCCCCAGTTATCGTTCAGTTTATTGGGGATATTTTCGTAACAGTGCCTACTATTTTTTTAAACCACTAAATTTTAAAAACAAGCATGTAGTACTTTGCCTGTTGGTGGCTTTGGGTAACTACCCTTCTGATCGATTTCAGAGGAGCAATGTTTTTCTAAGTTTCTTGGGGGCCAAGGCTTGGCCATTATTTTGGGATAGGTACTGAAACAGAAATTAATTCCAATTTTTTCTTGCAACTTACATTTTTTAAGGTATTAAATTAAATTGATACATGCTTCTTAGAGCTGTGGTGGCTTAGGGTCAACAGGGTTCGAATCCCAGCGATGGCTAGTCGATACAAATTCCCTCACGCACTGACTACAGTGCTGACGTAAAATATCCTCAGTGGTAGACGGATCTTGGGATAAAGTCTTCTTGCCGCCAGGCTAACCGTGGGTGGTTTTCCTCTCCATGTAACGCTGTGGGTTAGTTCCATCCAAAAGTCCTCCATGAAGGCAAATTTCTCTCAATACTTGATCCAGGAGCTCCTTTCTTTGCTGGATTAAGTTCAAAATGGTTGATGTACAATTCTCCCTCTATTTCTTACTTTATTTTTCAATTTCTTGATAAGTCTCAAATCAATTCTTGAGAAGGTTTTTATTTTATATTTTATAACCGTCGTTGAACAGCCGACCCAGTTTTCTGGTTTATGACTACTAATGTTCAACTACGTAGTCTTGCAATTTTGAACCCTAATCCAGAATTCAAGGGAACTCCTGGATCAAGTATTGGAAGAAATTGCCTTCCGCGGAGGACTTTTTGATAGATCTAAACCGCATTTGCGTTACATGGAGATGAAGATAACGAAAACGTCCCTTCTTATGTATCCAATAGAAGAAAATATGTATTATTGTTGATTTATTTTATTGACTTATAGAAACAACATACATGTTTAGGCGTGTGAGTTGAAATACAATTATAGACCATTATCAAATCGAAAGACATGTAGCACAATACAGAGAAGAACTGCATGAAGATACATCCAGGGTAACAGCGGGATTCGAGCCCGCTATCTCCACGTTTCACGCAGCGTTTGGAGGAGGGCAATACCGCCCTCCAATGTAAAAGGGATGTGCAATGTCGCTGTGTAATGTTAAAGGAGGGCCCCCTTAATATTATTTACCATAGTTCTCAATAGCTCGATTTTGTTAATGCGCTATAGTGAAATAGGTTGGTAATACACGAATCAGATCTCTGACACATATAATGTCTTCAGTTTCTATATTTGATTTATTTATTTGTGTGTGCTCATCGCAAAGTACAGTTTATAAGCCTTTAACTGATAGCATAATTCAAGGACTTCACAAGGGTACAGTGGGATTCGAATCCGCTACTGAGTGTTTGGCGAAAGAACGGAACCGCTAGACCAGATTGATTTATTGATTGTTCCCAAGTTGTTTTCAAGTGCTTATTTCTGTGCAGCACAAACCCTGTCAAAGCCGATGTAGGAAACTCTTAGCTACGGTGGATTGCCAATGGTTACGAAACAAACTAGGTATCAAGTTGGATTCCTTCATAAATACTTCATAAATAAACATATAAAATTGTGTGCTGGAATGATTCCAAAGAATTTTTTTAATTTGAATATTAAAAATCATTAAATCACAAAAGAGAATGAAATATACAAAGGGGGATTGAACCCACTGCCTCCACTCATCAAATTAGTTGGTTTTTGCCCACATTTTGTATGGTTTATGAGTCATACTTTTGGGGAGTTAATAATCAAGAACTGTTTTTCACCTGGTAAGGAATTACAGGCAAATAGTTTATCCCCTATACGAGTCTTAAGAATAAACTAATAAAATTATTAAAATATATATAAAATTATAATTAAATAAAGTAATTGATTACTGTAATCGATCAGTGTAATCATGATTACAGTTGTATTCAAAATTATGGAGATATCACGTAGCGATTAAAAAAAGCTNAGTAGAATCGTCATGAGTTAATTAAGTAATATTGTACTAAGTGCAAATTCGTTGAGAAAATTGTGATTGTGGTACTTGTTAAATATGAAGGGTTGAAAAATATTTTATGTTAAGTTAATTTCACTTTTGGTGTTTTACTACCATTTTTTTTTGATAAATCTAATAATGCAACGAAAACAAAAAAAGAGTCAAGTGCTTGTTTATTTATAAATAATTTAGAGTAAGGCTAAAAATTTTGTAGTACCGCTGTATTTATTTGTCAAAAAAATATAAAAATGATCACGATAGTAATTATCTTCGAGAATTACTGATAACTGTGTGAAATCTTGATTATAAATAATTAATATTGTTATAAACTATGTGTTCAGTGCTTATAATGATTAGTTAGAGTTTGAAAGTGATTTCATATTTTTTCCTACTTAATAATTAACTTGAAACTTTTAAATGAGAAGCTTTTGAAATAATTTTTTATTTTATTTTTTGAAATGTGCATTAAAGGCGGTATTAAACGTAGCATTATGCAATAATGAAAATGTAAATTTAAGGGTAAAATTTATAAATTTAAATAATTGTTTTTTTTAATGAAATGTCTCTGGTACTACTTGGGTAGTTTAATTGCAATACTGTCTCTTGCTTCTTTATGCCAACTTGAGACGACCTTAAAGTAACATTCCGTAAAATGTTAAACTGTAACACAATACATTATCCAAACAATCCTCCAATTTTTTCAATTGGACCCTCGTCGCTGTCTTCCCTGTTATCGGCGTCTTCCACTGTCTTCGTTGTCTTCAATGTATTCGTTGTCTTCAGTGTATTCGTTGTCTTCACAGTCTTCGTTGTCTTCTCTGTCTTCGTTGTCTTCACAGTCTTTAAAAATGCTGAAGTCATATTTTTCTGAAGAAAAGGAAGAAAAACAACAAGTAAATTAGATCAGAAATGTTTGGTAGCCAACTGATATTGTTTAATTACACTTTTTCAAAAAAATTGCAGCAACAGAAACTCAGATATCAAGATAATTGGAATCTTTCGATTAAAAAGGTTCATTGTCATATTTACCTACCTTTATCAAAGTAGCTTTGAAAATGGAGATATCATGCAAAAAAAAAAGCATGCGTTTTTTTAAAAGCTCAGGAAATTGGCAACACTTTCTAGACTAGAGTATACAGTGTCCATCTACGTTAGAGAACTTTACTACATATATATAGCCCTAATGGTCCACGCCGTGAAGTTGTGGCACAGTTTCGACTCCTAACAGGCCACGACTGTCTGGCTGAACACTTGCACAGCATCGGTATTCTAAATTCACCTGACTGTCCGCTCTGCAACTTGGCAGAGCCCATGAATAGGACCCACCTCCGCTGCTGTGCTGCATTGCATTCCGGCTCTGAATCGTCGCTTTATTGGCCAGCCAGAGAACTTTTAGGGCAATGACTTCGGTCATTCTGTTTAGTTTATTTATTGACGAGTTTTGTCTCTGCATTTGTTTTCTGTGTTATTTCTTGTTTATGCCCTGCCATTAGAAAAAAAAAAATTTACTACATATTGGACGATGATTTCAACATTTTCTTTTATTATTATTAAGATTCTATTCACTTCCATTTCTGTAATCTATTCTATTATTTTATTTATAGATTGTTCTATTTATTATCTATTCTTTATTGCCTTCAAATTGCTGTTCTAAGAATATGACGTTACGCTATTTTCGTTAATTAACATACGTCAGGAGAATCGTTAAGTCTCAGCAAAAGTAAAACCAAAAAGAATGAAAACACCACGGGTCCTTCCAAATTAAATATTCTTAAAACGAGTAAACATTGTTATCACACAGGAAAAAACAACATGATTGATGAATTAACTGAATCCTTTGAAAAGAAATTTACATAGGTTATGGAAGCTAGCAGGGATCTTCTATTTTCACAATACACTTCTAATTCTTAATAATGACAAATAATCGATATTTCACTATCTTTTTGTCCATAGATTACAACTTGCACAACCCAGAATAAAAGTAGGTGGTCCGTTATCAATACTTTTTCATTCATCATAATTTTTCATATTTCAATATTTTTTCATTCATGTTTATTGAATGGTAACATCAAAATAAATAGTGCTTTGTAACGACTGTTACAATCTTAAGGCAGCATCTCAATAAATATTTGTTAATAGTACTTGAGGCCAGGTGTGTAGCTCTTTTGAGACTTTGCACATAGTAGAATAAATTTGAATTGTTGCATTGTACTTCAATCGTAACTTTAGTAGACTTGTAAACAACGCGCACAAGTCCTTTTTTTGAGAATTAAGCTAATAAACTGGAGTCGAGTAGTATTAATTTAAATGAGTTATTAATGTTTTGATTATCGTTTAGAACCAACAACAGGTCTGAATTATTTCATTAAGGTTTTTTGCGCTATCCCTTTGCTTTATTATCAATGTAATGATTTTTCTCTTGAAACTCCAAAGTAATAAAAATATAATATTTTTAATGGTTTGCTTTCAATATAATTTTTAGGCGAAATGTCTAAAAAATATCTTGATACGAATTGCGAAAGATTTATTGGTTTCAAATGTTAAATTAATTAAAAAATCGTATTTATTAATTAAATTTAAATATAATGAAATTAAATGTTAAATATCTTTGATTAAATTTTTCTAATTTAAATATTGTTTAAAAGCAATTTAAAGGAATAGTTTTAATCTGACTATCAAAACATTTTATCATCAACTGAAGTATTTATATTCCTTTTAGTAGAAATTTAAATTGTCAGGAAATAAACAATCTAAAATATTTTGTGTAGTAACTGATTAAGTTAATTTTATTCGTCATCAATAATAGAATTTTTGATAGTTATATGCTTTTTGCATGTGTCAATTTATTCGATTTTTGGTTGTATTGAGAGTAATAAAAATGAACATATTTTAAATATGTCATAATTTTTATCAAATTATCTGTTATGTTTAATATTCAAATGTTGTAATACTTTAAGAACAAAATTTGCATTTTAAATTAATAAAAAAGTATTAAAACTAGATTCAATTAAAAACATGGTATAAGAATTACTTATAGTTTTAAAGCCTTACTACTAGTTAGGTTCTAAATTTAAGATCGATCGGTATCTGATCCAAAAAATATTAGATATTCATATCTGATAATCAGGTGTATCTGTAAAATATTGTAACTGATACCGAAAAAATTGGCACTCACCCATATCAGGTTCAATAATTTATAATTTTAACTACAAGTTTAACTATATATGTAACTTATAGTTTTAAATCTCTGCTACTAGTTAGGTTTTAAATTTAAGATCGATCTGTATCTGATGCAAAAAGTATGAGATATTCGTATCTGATAATCAGGTGCATCAGTAAAAATTATAACTGATACCGAAAAAATTGGCACTCACCCATATCAGGTTCAATAATTTATAACTTTAACTACAGGTTTAACGAAAAGTAACTTATAATTTTAAACCCCTTCTACTTGTTAAATTCTAAATTTAAGATCAAACGATATCTGATGAAAAAAGTATCAGATATTTGTATCTGATAATCAGGTGTATCAGTAAAAAAATGTAACCGATATCGAAAAAAAAATGGCACTCACCCATCCATCTCTAATAATACTCATGGTATTTTCAATAATTTATAATTTTAATTACAAGTTTAACAATGAGTAACTTATAATTTTAAATCCCTTCTACTAGTTTGATTCTAAATTCAAAATTGATCACTATCTGATGCAAAACGTATTAGGCATTTGCATCTGACAATCAGGTGTATCAGTAAAATTTTTTAACCGATACCAAAAAAATTGGCACTCACCCATCCATCTCTAATAATGTACTCATGATAGGTACAATAATTTACAAGTTTAATTACAAGTTTAACTTTAAGTAACTTATAATTATAAATCCCTTCTTCTAATTAGTATCTAAATTTAAAATCGATCGGTATCTGATGCAAAAAGTATCAGATATAAGTAACTGATGATCATGTGTATCAGTAACAAACTGTAACTGATGCTAAAAAATCGGCACTTATCCATCCATTTCTAATAATGCTCATGATAGGTTCAATGATGCTTATAATAGGTTCAAATAAATGAAAAAAAATAAGCACATTACCGTTATAAGGACAAATGATTTCCGTGTCGAAATAATATTTTCTTTTTTCTCTGGGTTGATCCATGAGATAATAATATTCTGCATCCATTCCTGCAACAGCGCAATCTGTTGAGTTGTCCCTGCAACACCGTTGACATGCCCCTGACTTAAAATCTTCATAACTGTCACATCTAGCGCCGATGAATTTGCTGCTTGGGGAATTAATAGACACTTTGAAGTACTGAATCGCTTGCCAATGATAGCAGCACGTAGGGAATAATGACATTAAGCCTATGGAAAATCATAATTTGTTGAAATTACTGATTGAAAGAAAGTCACGTAATTGACAGTTTGGTAAGAGATTCAAGAATATATTGAAAGATTTGTTCGCATTTCATTTTACAATGTTTTCGTTTTGCTATTATCAAACACATACATTTACAACATTTTAAGAAGACAAATTATACTAGTAATTAAAATGTAATATTTTCGTTATATAGTGGCAACAACTAGTAATTCTTTTAGGGGGAAAAAAACACTCACGACTTTTAGAATACTTTGAAAGAGTACTTCACGGTCAAAGGAGTATTTACGTTTGTTTAATATTACGATTTCTATGGAAATATATATACATAATATTCTAAAATAATTTTATTCTGTTAGAAACAAGAATACCCAATTGCATTAAAAAATAAAATTTAAATAATTTTTAAGATGTAAGCTGTATGTAGTTACAAAATAAAAACATAACTCGCGAAGTTTAAGAATCGGGCGTATTGAGTGGACAAAATAATCCAATTTTTCGGGCTTCTTTTCAGTGGCAACAAATAGAAGGATCAATGTTTGAGTAAATGTTTTCATCTTAATTGCGTGTATTTTCTTTTATTCATATGATTAGCATTAAATACAGAATGTGTACTTTTTACGAAAAGTATACATTTAATATATCATTCACTATTTCTGCATAAATTAATATATTGGATTTGACTATTTTTTCTTTACCTTTTTTTTTTAAAAATAGATCGACAATAATAAAGGAAAATTCTTGCCTTTACAATTATTATCATTATTATTATTTTTTAATCAATAAAAGAATAAGCATGTCCTTTTTTTAAAAAGGAGAACTTTTATGTTCTTGCTTTTTGATATATTTAGTAAATTTTTTTTAAAAAAAAGCGAAATATCTATATTAATTTAAAGTTTATATCTATCGTATGCGTTATTTCTTTCAATAAATTAGGAAGAATAAATTACGAATAGACGAATGCCATACAGTTTTGACCCATGTAGCAGAATATTGCTTAACACCAGAACGGCCGGACCGGTCATTTTGACCGCAAAACGATTTGAAACGCGTTCAATTTTTCTTTGGTTTTCACCGATTTCTTTGATTTTTTCTTACTTTTCCTAAATATTAATAAACATCATCTACAAAAAATTTCACTCATTTATTTTGATTAGTTTTCTTGTAAATTTACAATATACCTAAAACGGCCAATACCGGTCAAAATGACCGGTTTTTGATATTTCTGTTACTGTCATTTTTAAAGCATCATTAATTATACTAAAATGAAGGGGTGTGAAGAGTCGAAAGAAAGATAGAGAAAGAGGCGGAAGAAGAAAGAGATGGAAGGGGAAAGAGAGGGGAGTAGAAAGAAGAGGAAGAAGAAAAAGCCGAAGAAGAAAGAGAGGTAAGAAGAAAGAGAGGGAAAGAGAAAGAAGCGGAAGGAGAAGAAGGCTGAAGAGAGGTAAGGAGAAAAAGACTGAAGAAGAAAGAGAGGGAAGGAGAAAGAGAGAGAAGGAGAAAGAGGCTCTCCAGTCCTGGACACTCCGAGTTTATACGTAAAGAGTACGCATACGTACTAATACGAGATGTAATACTAGAGAAAGCATTACGATAAGGGCTGTGCGATCACTGGAACCAATAAAACTCGCTTCACATATGAAGCAATGGGCAGTAAAGGCAGAATCACGCTATCAAGTATATAATCACGGTTCATACGGGGTTAAACAAGAATGCTGGACTATTATTTCGACTATTTGGAGAACAAGCCAAGCGAGTTTGGTTTGCGAAACGATTCGAAAGGAAGCGCTGTACAAGGGACTGGTGAGTTATAGTGAGTAGGGGGTGGTTGACTCATTTATAGTTCTAAATTTCTTACTGGAATGAGCCTTTTTTTTTTAATCTTCACAAAATGTGAATGTTTTTCAATGTTTGAATGCAAATTCAAATTAATACTGAAAATAATTTAATCTTAAAATCAATTCAATTTACGAAGTCAATTTGATACATTAGAGGTAAATAAACATATTGAAACTTTAAATCATTAAACCAAATTGGAAAAGCGCACGAGGCAGCTGAAACCAAATTTGTATTATATAAAATAGAAGTAAGGCATATATAAAATCTCTACAATTAAAAGAAAAATGAAAATATAAATGGGTGTTTGCAAAACAGTACTTCATCAGGGAACACACACTGCCTGCAAACATACCGGAGCCTTTCTGTTGTTAGTAGATTTAACCAAAACTAACAGTGCCCCGAGATCCCATAATGAGAAGACAAAAATAGATAACCCTCACCACAATTGAAAAGCACTATAAAATTGAAAAGGAATCGCAACTAAAAAGTACAAAATTTAAACCAACAAATGAAACGCCTCCTTCAAACCACAATATAAATAAATGTAAGTAAAGTAATAGTTACAGTTAATAAAAGTACTGTTTTGCAAACACACATTTATATTTTCATTTTTATTTTAATTGTAAGGATTTTACATATGTCTTATTTCTATTTTATACTAAAAATAATTTTAATTCTATTGTACTTACCGTAAAACAAATCTAATCTTGGAACTGTGGCGATAGCATATTCGAAACACGCTGGTTGAATATTTCCACCATTGGGATAGAAGTCTACATGTCCAAGAGGGGTTATTAATCCAAAATTAGAGGCTGAAACAGAAATTAATATATA